ATAATGAAAAATAATGAACACAGCACCTGTAATGCTTTAATGACCACCACCTAACTATGTTTCTCATAGCTTTCGGATAACAACATCAAAAGAAACAAAACTTGCTGTTCCCTTCTTTCTTTTTTATCAACTTCTTTTCCAGGTACCCAAATTACTATTACTTAAGCAAATATGTATCTTTTTTCTTTGCAAATAACCGTCATTCAAATGATGGGTTACATCTAAGTAATCGCTGACTGCAGGAAAACTTGTAACTTTTTTAGCAACACTCAATTGTGAAAAAAGTTTCAGCCACTTACCCCCTTGTATTCATTAGTCCAATTGCATTCCCTTTCCTGAATGCATCGGTTACTGAAACCGACCCTGCTGCAAACTTCAAACAATTTTTTGTACACTATAATATGCAGTAATTATCAGATAAATACCTCTGAATTCAACACTGTGAAATGTTTAGCAAAAAATTAAAAAAAACTGAAATACCAACAAAAACGGCTTCCTCGTCAATCATCAGAAACAAAACAATGCACATTCCAGACATCCAATAATTAACAGGCATAAAATTTAGCTGATAATTTGATGCACTAATAATATCAAGATAATGATTGGTATAGCAAAGATAATAATACAGACACAACAAGGTTGAGAAATCTAAAGTAACCAAGCGTTTCCTGGCTCAGCCAACTACCGGCGTCAAAAACTTCTTGGTCACCAGCCCAACCGGTTCTTGTTCATTCCCGGACCAACTAACAAATCAATATCTACTACATTCATGCAATACTTACCACAACAAACTTCTGCTTCTCTATAGTACAAACTTAAAATTTAACTAGAGAGCCAAATTCACAGCATTCTTTGCAGTTAGTAATGCTTATTGGCAGCAAAACTAGAAATGAAAAAGAAGTTCAATTGCTGAACAAACCGGAAGTAACCTCAAAACTGGAGATAAAAGAATTGTTTATCGAACAGGTAGCAAATACACTGAACAACCAGCATAGATAACTCTCCAAACTTCCACAATATCGAAATTGCACCACAGCAAACAACCCCGACAAACACTACATTAGACTACACTGCAACCACAGTTTATTATCCCCCACTTCCAATCGAACTAATTACTTCAGAAAAAAATCACAACCGAAACAGCAGTTCAACTTATAAAGTTAGAAGCAGAAACCTCGAAAAATCAGCTGTACCTCTATTTCCTCACAAACATCCTTTCATTGCAACAATATCCCCTCTCC